ACGCTTGTATTAGGATTTTATTATTGTACTTTGTTAATTTATGTGTACATTTTGAATATTATATATATATATTTATTGGATAATTTGATCACTATTTTTCATATGTAATTTTATTTTGAATATGTCAATTTAAATTAAAGTAATTAAAAAATATCATACAATTAAATTAAATTTAAAAAGTAAAAATTCGAAATAATTAATATAATTAAATTAATATTAAAGAAATAATAAAACAAAAAGTCAAAAACCAAAATATTTCGTCACGCAAATATTTGCGCGACATTAATATTCGTCGCGCAAAACTCTAAAAATTTGGGCGGGTACCAAAAATGGGAAGCGGGAATTTTTTTTTTTATAAAGTTTTTCGTCGCGCAAAGTTTTGCGCGACCAATATTTTTCGTCGCGCAAAGTCACTTTGAGCGACCAATATTTTTTCGTCGCGCAAAGTCTCTTTGCGCGACGAATGAAAAAATTTCGTCGCGCAAAGTCTTTCTCCACGATCTTTGCGCGACAAAGTTTCTGTCGAGCTAAAATTTGTGCGACTATAATGTATTTTGCGCGACGAAATTCTCTTCGTCGCGCAAAGTGAAAAATGTAGTAGTGACTTCTTGTATATGACAATATATACGTTTTTCCTTTGTGTAAAGGAACAATAGGGAGAGAGATATTATATAAACCCTCACAGCAAACATCCGAATGCAGAAAACACGTTGTGAAAAAAAGGAAATTAAAGGAAAGATTATATGGCTTCATTTGTAAATCAAACGCGTAGACAGCTTTTAATTAGAAGTTATAATGTAAGTGAGTTATTGAGTAGAGCTTTCAAAGTTGCAAGGATCTATTTTTATATGACTCTAATAATTTATATATAGAGATTCATGAACATGCTTCCGACAAAGAAGAGAGAGAGAGAGAGAGAGAGAGAGAGAGAGAGAGAGGAACCTACTTTTTTCAGCGTCTCCATGCAGAAATGGTGCCGCATAATGTTTCTCCCACATTCGTCAAGAACAGAGAAGATATAATTCACATCCACTTCAGCATCTATGTTTTCTTTCAATTTGTTTTGACTAAAACCATGCATAATATCTATCGTCACATCATCAGAAATGCCATTTATTGCCATCCACAAAAATATCGCCTCTAGTTTCTCACGTATCTTTGGGTCAGCAGAAATTTTGAGAATGCCAACTGTTTCAAATTAGTGCCAACTACATGATCAAACAAAGAAAAAAAAAAGAAAAAAAAAAAAGTGCCAAATATTTCAAGTTTCAAAAGGTAAGGATTGTCTAAACTTCACCTTTTGACTTCATTGGGAAGATGTCTCCAGAGAGCACTAAAGTTTTCATGTCATCAACTGTGAGAGCAAAGGCTTCTACTTTTGTGGTACATCGGATGGTTTTGAACGAAGCAGGTTGGTCATCAAAAGATTTGGTTTTCATTGCCCAATACAAAAGTTGTTCTCCAACAAACATACCTTTTTTCAAGAGTTTCAAATGAATGAAATGCAGACTACCCGTTTGGCAAAAAACATTATAAAGTAAAAACATACCAAAAAAAATATAAAATAAAAACATACCTTTCTTAAGAGTATGGAATGAGGTTGATGGAGCTACTTCTCCAGCATCCATAATTGGCGCCTGCATAGAGCCTGCTATAATATAGAGCATCGCGTTAAGTGGCTTTCCCACTTCAACAACTTTGGCATTATCCTCGAACACCTTTGGCTTGAGAGAGTCGCAGATCCTTCCCAATTCACGATCGTTCATATGTTGAAGCTCCTTTACCTATATATGTATATCAGAAAATCAGATTCTGATCATCGTCTAAGTTTCAATTTTGATTAATTTCTTATAAGATATTCGAGATTGATCTTTATCGTTGGTCTATATATCCATTATATCCACCTCAGCATGCTAAGTGTTTTTATTGATTTTTTTTTCTTCCCATAATACCATTTTCTTCAAATATATCGTTTGCTATAGGCTCAACCATACAAATAAACACCAACTAAAACCCAAATAAACTAACAATAAATATGGTTTGTGGATGAGCTCCACCACAATTTTAAGAAGTCAATCTTTGTTCCTTAGAGAGTGAATATTGTGCCTAATCACATACTACTGCCGAGATTTACATTTCTTCCTTGACAAACCTCCCCCTCTCTGAGTTAATCCCATATTCGATGCCCGCACCAAAAACGTTGAAATTGACTACCATTATATCTGACAACTTGTCATGTTTCCTCTCCTTATCGAATTGCTGACATCTTCACCAAGAGATTACCTAAAGCCCAATTTCAAGACTTGATTTCCAAACTTATCATTGTCTCAACACAACTCCGCTTGAGAGGGTATGTTAAGAAACAAAACAATCAAATCATCCAACGGCTAGAAAGAGAACAAAAAAAATACTCAAGGCACTCAACAAACTTGCACCCTAACCAGCAAGTAGCCAGCTCACACAGTACCTATGTGGAAGAGATATGGATGAGCCAAGGCTTATTCTTCCTTGTATTCTTTTGTTCTAATTCTATAGATTTCTTGTATAGGAAAATATATACGGTTTTCCTTTGTGTAAATGAATGACAGTGAGAGAGATATTATTCTTGTAATAAACCCTAGCAGCAAACATCTGAATATAGAAAACAAGTGGTGAAAAAAAGGGTTAGCAATTAAAAGAGAGATTCAATGGCATCATTTGTAGAGCTTTCAAGTTCATTCATGGCATTTTGATTCAAAAATTCAATTTTACTTAGAGTTGTAATTGTTGGAAAATTGGCTCACCTAAAATAAGCAAGTTTCGGAGAAAGCGACCGGTCGCCAGGTAGGCGCGATCGGTCTTTTCGAAGCAGAGTGTAAAACTTGGAAATCACCAAAAAGCGATCGGTCGCCCTATACTTGCGACCGATCGTTTCTATCTTGCTGTTTTGATTTTCCATGCATTTTTAGACTCCTTTTCATGTGCTATGCTTTCTACCTAATTGCAAGGACTTCCTAAGTCATTTTTGAGTTCTAGGAAGGTTGGCAATCTGTTGAAAAGCTGGGATAGCACTTTATGGTTGTTTGTTGACTTGTTTCAAAGGTTTTCCACTCTTTGGTTCTAGATAAGGTGGGTGAAGGTGCAGCCATTGGTGACTTGCTTTTTGGTTCACCTAACTCTAAGTCTACGTAGGATGGCTAAAGGGTGAATGTGAGCAGGAAGAAGCTTCCTCCTAGGTCCAAGGGCTTGTCTATAAAGGGAAAAGGATACAAGACAACAAGTGTGGCTGGAAACTGGAGTGAGAAGAGAGAAAACCGAGTGTGAGAGAGTTTCACAAGAGCATCAAGGTGTTGATCTAGGGGTGTGAGAGAAACAGATTGCGAGGGTAGTGTTCTAAGGGGGTTTTCCATTGGTAAACCAAAGTTGTAACCTATCTTCATTAGTGAAATTTCTCAAGGGGATCACCAAAGAGGATGTAGGCAATTGCTGAACCTCTATAAATACTTGTGACATTTGTGCTTGGTTATTTTCTATATGTGTGTGAGTGTTTGACACAATCGTTATTGTGTTTATCCAAAGTCCATCAACAACAAGATCCTAAACGAGCTATTTGCACAACAGTAATATAAGTGGGTTTTTATATATAGAGCTTTCAAGGATCTATTTTTATATGACTCTAAAAGAGTTTTCTATATAGAGATCCAGGAACACATTTTGGACCCAAAAAAAAAAAAAAAAAAAAGAGAAAAAGGAACCTACTTTTTTCAAGGTCTCCATGCAGACATGGCGCCGCATAATGCTTTTCCCATATTCTTCAAGAACAGAGAACATATAATTCACATCCACTTCAGCATGAATGTTTTCTTTCAATTTACCTTGACTAAAACCATGCATAATATCTATCGCCACATCATCAGAAATGCCATTTATTGCCATCCACCAAAATATCGCCTCTAGTTTCTCACGTATCTTCCGGTCAGCAGCAATTTTGAAAATGCCAACTGTTTCAAATTAGTGCCAACTACATGATCAAAATAAGAAGAAAAGAAAAAAGAAAAAAGAAGAAGTGCCAAATATTTCAAGTTTCAAAAGGAAAGATTGTCTAAACTTCACCTTTTGACTTCATCGGGAAAATGTGTCCGGAGAGCACTAAAGTTTTCAAGTCATCAACTGTGAGAGCAAAGGCTTCTACTTTTTTGGAGCATCGGATAGTTTTGAAAGAAACAGGTTGGTCATCGAAAGTTTTGGTTTTCCCTGCCCAATCCAGAAGTTGTTCTCCAACAAACATACCTTTGTCAAGAGTTTCAAATGAGGTTGAGGGACTCACCTCTGTAGTAACCCTAATTGGCTTGTATGCCAGCATAGAGCCTGCTATAATAATGAGCATCACGTTAAGTGGCTGTCCCGCTTCTATCACCATCTCATTCTCCTTGAAGATCTTTGGCTTGAGACAACCGCCGATCATTCTCAATGCTACATCGTTCATATGTTGAAGCTCCTTTACCTATATATATATATCAGAAAATTTAATCCTAATCCTCACATAAATTTCAATTTTGATTAATTCCTTATAAAAGATTAAACATCGCTATAATCCAATTCAGTTTTAAGGCCTTTTTTCCCCCCTGCATTTATGAAATTTTGTGAGAGAATTATGGAACCATACAAACTAACACAACTATCTTTTGGTTTTAGTGGTATTTGTCCTACAGGGTTGTAGGATTTCAAGTTTGGTTTGTTGTGAGTGTTTGTCATGGGACCTGCCCTTGGTTCCTAATTAGTTAGGCTACTCCCCATTGCCAATTGATTTTGGGGTGGAATTTCAACTTCCTTCCACACCACACCACAATGTGCTATTTCCTAAATTGGCCAACTTTACCAACCCTTTCTTTAAATCCTTTTTTTTAACCCCAGCTCCTACCCTTTCCTTATCCTTCAAACCTATGATATAATAGGCTACTCCTTGATGGCACAGAACCATGTCCACCCTCAGTTCCTCCTTGATACCGATGGTCATCCCACCATATGCAAGAGAACCCATCCTTTACCCATGGATCAAGAAGGATCGCACGTGTTGCATTATTCATGCTTCTTTATCTAAGACCATTCGTGCCTATATTGTAGGCCCATGAACAGCTAGAGGGTTGGCTCAACTAGGGAAAAAGTTTCGCCAATTTGACAAGATCTTACCCTCTGCAACTCAAACCTCCGCTTCAGACCATCAAGAAAGGACCTCTCACCATGCTCAACTATCTTCAAAACATCAAACACCTTGCAGACAGCTTGGTTGCAACTAATGCTCCTCTTAATGAGTCAGATTTTATTTTTCATGCCCTACATGGCCTTCCTCCTGACTATGATGCTTTTGCTACTTCCAGTTAGACTACGTCTAGATCCCATCTCAATAAAGGAGATTATTGTCCTTGTCTTAAGTGAAGAAATTGTTGTTGAACATCGTTTTTCTTCTGAAACCAGCTCAGACTCTACCATTGAGTACTAAATATTGGAATGATTCTAATTTTTACTAACACATGGTATTGAATGATTTCAATTCCTTATTTCCCCTACATTTACTGATACGTAAGGAATCAAAAATCATGTGAGTTCTATGTTAAAATCCATAATTGTTAGGTTTTGTTTAGCTAATGTTTTTAGCTTTCCTTGACGAACATGTAATCTCATACGTATGATGAAGCTCAAAGAATTTAGGCTAGTTCAAGTTAGATCAACTTCATAATTGTCCAATGCAACCAAGCTCAGTGAAGGTAATATTTTTATGTCTGTATTGCATGCATTATAGTGTTCTCCTATATGCATCACTAGTTGTCATGTAAGTAATTCTTTTTAGCTCATCTTTAGAAATTAGGACTTGGGTATTTGCTAGAAAGTTAAAGTACATCGAAGAGCTTATGAGGCTATAAAACCAAGATAATTTGTGCATTCATTTATAATCGACGTACATCATTAGGAAAATCAGCATATGTATCACAATAATTTGTCTAGATGACCAGTCATATAGGCCAAATATTTCTAGCACCGGATTTTTAATCAAGGCACGTGATTGCTTATTATAAATCCAATCATTGGCTGCCAAGTGTCCTTTTGACTTGCCAAAAAGGTTGGGGCTGGTCTGGACTCATTGACTCTCTCATTTTACATTTTTCATATGGGTTTAGAGAGAGAGAGAGAGAGAGAGAGAGAGAGTTCTAGTGAGAGATTGTGCATAAATTAGGTTTCTCTTTTTGAGAGAAGAGTTCATGAGTTCTTGAATTCCTTTTGGGGCTTTCATTGGTAATTCATTTCTCAAACTTTTGTTTAGTGATATGAAGTTTTTATCTCTCATCACTTTCAATGCACCATTTTGGAAAACTTGGTCTTCTTTTTGGTTTGTCTAAGAGTGTTCATGGCATGGAAATGGGTTTTCAAGATTTCATTTTGAAAGCTACTTCTTTTTTAGAAAATCTAACCATAGGTTTGCACATCTAAGTTTCAATCTCTCATCTCTTCTATTTGCACCATTTTGGAAAACTTGGGTTTCTCTTTGGGTTGTCTGAGAGTGTTCATGGCTTTTGGAAATGAGGTTTTCAAATAGCTTTTGAAATCTATTTCTATTTTTGAAATCTACTTCACCTATTGAGAATTTTTTAAGAGTAATTTTACTATGCATTCTCTACTTGGTTAAGTCTACGTTTTTCATTGTGTGATTTTGAAAATGGTTTTTTGAAATATGTTGTACTTTTAAAATCTTCATCTTGAAGAAAATTGACTGTTTCATCTCAAAATCTATATTTCATTGTTTTGTTCGATCTGGAGCTGAGTTGCTGTGCCATGAGGTAAAGAAACTGATGGACTAGCTGCCATTTCCATGAAGGACAAGCTACTAGCTCAATTAAGTTTGGAGAAGAATGTTGCATAGGGTAGTTGTGCTCATTTCCTAAATAGACCTAGGATTGTTTGAGCTTGTGATTACTTTTTCTGTAAGAATCTACTTATGATTGACGAATCCTTTTGAGTACCTAGGTTGTCATATAGTTATCTTCTAGACTTGCACAGGAATGAGATTTATTTGTTGAATGTGTGTGTTGTTTGATGTGTGATCTTAGGTCTGTGACTAGTTGTTGGCTACTCATACATTTGTTGGGATTATTTTGTTGGTCTAATTTGTGGTCAGCTAGATTATCCGTTAATTTTACCCCTTACACCTATGTAACAATTTCAATAATCTAATAACCTCAAAGTCAAGAATGGATCAACTAGGGGAGAGTAGTTGACCCAATTCCAATTCCTTGATTGCCCTATCTGAGTTCTACGATTTATGACTTTCTCCATTCCTAATAAGTGAACAATACATATATAAAGATTCATGAACATACTTCTAAAAATAATAAAATGAAATAAAATCAGAAAGAAAAAAAGGACCTACTTTTTTCAGCATCTCCCAGCAAATACTACGGCGCATAATTACTTTCGCAAACTCATCAAGAACAGAGAAGATATAATTCACATCCACTTCACCATCTATGTTTTCTTCCAATTCCTTTTTTCGAATATTAACCAAAATTCTTCCAACCGTGTCATCTGAAATGCCATGCATTTTCATGCACATTTGTATCTCCTTTTTTTTCTCAAGTATCTTCTTTTCTTTCTCAAGCATCTTCATTTTCATTGACTGCTCCTTATCCAACGATCTTGTGAGTGCTTGTTGCATAAATATCTGTTTCATAACAAATAAGAAGCCAGTTCGTCATATTAAATATGCATAAACATAACATTCGTGTAGTATGCGTGAGTTTTAAACTGTTTTCTTAAAAAAAGCATAAACATAGCGTCACAGATAAACAAATAAACAATATATTATAAAATAAAAAATATCCTTCACTGAAACGTAAAAGGATAAAAGAATATGTAATCGAACACATACTATGGACAAAATTTGAAAAATACGGTCAAGCTCAAGGCGCTAATGCGAAATGTACTAGAGCTGAATTATTTTGCGTACAAACTCTTCAAAAATCTATTTTAATATCTGAGTTTTTAATTTCATTAATTTCGTTACTGAGTTGGCAAACATTAACATTTTAAGCCACTTTGTCAGTTTTATGTTAAAAAATTCATTAAAATAAAAAAACGAAGTGGATATTGGGCCATTCGGACAATGGGTCAGTCATCATCAAGGTCTAAAATATCGAGAGTTTCGGAAATATCGGTGGTCCAAAAACACGGATATATCGATGGAAATATCGAGAAAATATCGATGTCGATAAAAATTAAATAAAAATCACGGAAATTGTGAGAAAAACTTGAAATTTTTTATTGAAACTTTAGAGGATGTTTATTTAGTCAATTGTCTATTATTTTATCACAAAAAATTTGAATAAAATGCATGGCATGGTGGGTTAGAGTGATTTAAGTTGATTATGCAGCGACCTAACAAACACTGTGTCTTTAGAAAATATGTAGTAATTAGTGAAAGAAAATTAAACGCACCATAATTTTTTAGTTATAATAATTTACTACAATATATTGCATATGATAAGATATATGAGCTTGACAAAAAAAACAAAAATAAAATATATGAGTAACTTAATACCACATTAAAAAATATATATATATATTTAAAATATCAAATTTTTTAGGCCCAAACCCAACTATTTCATTATACCAACAAAAAGCCCAAATTTCCCAAGTCCATTGCCCAAGTCCAACAAGCCATTTTTTAATATCCCTATCCTATCAAATCCCACTTCTCACTTCACTCTCTTTCTCTCACGCACTCTCTCTCTTTTCCTCTCAGATTCTTTTAACTCTCTTTTTCTTTCTGTCTTCTCTCTTCCGCGTCTTTTCCTCTTGGCTCTTTAACTTCTTTTTC